TCAGGAATGCCATGTACGCACTGTTCGCAATTTGCACAGACGTCTTTTTTTTCAATGTATCTGCGATGACTCCTATAAATTGGGCGCACGCAACATCATTGCTGTACGTCGGGTTTCATGCCGTCTCCGGACCAGGGCTTGACATAACCTGGGAGGTTGTCAGAGTATTGGTTATGATTTTTGGACGGATCGGGCCTTAACTTAACATTCTTAACGAAGAAGTTGTCAATCGTTCTTTTCATATTCTCTCATCATCCGCGGCTACATCCACTCTGTTTATCTGACGGGCCTAGGCTACTCACCTCTCTCTGTGTGACAGCAGCACACGCATTTTCTAACGTACACACACGTACAGGAATATCTGGACCACGGCCAATCAGAGGGGGGGTCCGCCCTTCACTATCTCTGATTGGTTTAGACCATGATATGGGCCTAATGTGTGTCTGTTGTTGAAGCACAGGGAGACTTCCATAGTCGCTGAGACTTTTTTTCCCCCTCGAACGGCTGGTCGCACCGGTGCAACCTCAGAATTTGTTTAGTCGCACCATTGAGAAATTAGGACTGAGAGATTCTAGAGCCCTGCTAGAGGGCGCAGTTCTCGGAAGGGAACCTCAATGGACAAAAATGCTGTCTCAGTGTGGACGGAAGGCCAAAATGGAGAGAAAAAGATGCTTCCAAGTGTGGACAAGGCCTAAAAGATCAAACAACAAAGTGATGTATAATGCTACGTTTTATAATAAATAAGACACTTGTTCTTTGCTTTGTTTTATTTTAAATAAGAAGATGTAACATTAAAATATATTAAAGTACTGGAAACTTCTAGCAGATTTATTGGGGCAAGTTAGAGCTAAACTCTGTAGGACACCGGCTCACCAGGAGCAAGTTTGGACATCCCAGTATAGGATCTAGCATACATGCATTACATATCTACATGTTTTGATGTTGATTACTTTGTGCCATTCAACTGGGGTTAACTTTTTTGTTTATTTTTTCCCCTTAGACCTAATGGCACTGAAAGAGAGGGAAGCACTGAATGAAACTGAAGAGAAAGATCAATATGAGATTCTTCATGATTTCACAACTGGAGAAAAGAAAAATCCTGACGTCCACAGGACAATTCACACTACGGAGAGCCTTTTTACCTGCCAACAGTGTGGAAACCGTTTCACTCATAAAGGAAGCCTTAACAGGCACATGAGAGTTCACAATGGAGAGAAGCCTTACACATGCCCTCGGTGTGGAAACCGTTTCACTCATATAGAAAGCCTTAACAGGCACATGACAATTCACAATGGAGAGAAGCCTTACATGTGCCCTCAGTGTGGAAAGAGTTTCAGTGATCCTGGAAACCTTAAAGTCCACATGAGAGTTCACACTGGAGAGAAGCCTTTTATCTGCCACTGGTGTGGAAATGGTTTCAGTCAACATGTAAATCTGGAAGCTCACATGAGAATTCACACCGGAGAGAAGCCTTTCACCTGCAAAGAGTGTGGAAAAAGTTTCAACAGAAAAGGAAACCTTAATAACCACATGAGTGTTCACACTGGAAAGAAACCCTTCAACTGCCATCTGTGTAGAAAAGGTTTTAAGGAAAAACGAAACCTTTACGCCCACAGGCGAATTCACACTACAGAGAGATTTTTTACCTGCCTACAGTGTGGAAAGAGTTTCAATCATAAAGGATACCTTAACAGACACACGAGAACTCACACTGAGGAGAAGCCTTACACATGCTCTCAGTGTGGAAAGAGTTTCAGTCAAAAACGATATCTTGAAGTTCACATGAAAGTTCACACTGGAGAAAAGTTTCAACCAAAAAGGTAACCTCAAAGGATTAGTTAACCACAAAAAGACGGTCTACGTCTTTTCGAGAATGGCCGCATAATTCATCAGCTCCATCAATTTGCATGAAGTCGGAGCCCTAGAGCTAGATATTAACAACTTTTAAGTGCTGACAGAGTTAAGGCCTTTCCACACTGAGCACGATGCGAAAAAGCGAGGCGAATCGCCGACGAACGGCGAATTCACGCCTGCACACTAGGTGGCGCCGACCAACAATGCATTTTTCCTCGGATATGTATCTCGTAAATGGATTTAACATAATCCGCTGCTCAATATACAGCATTAAATGAAGATAAACAAAGTTCTACACCAGAAACAAACTATCTATAACGCTTAGAAGAATGCATCCTAAAATATAATTAGAAGTACAACTAGCATCAAGCTACACTTGAAAATTTAATTATTAATGTATTTGCTTACCCACTTTAAACCATCATCGAGTGCTTGTAATAACTTTCAATTGTGATCTATAGTTGATTTTGATTCTATAATAAGCAGACACATGCACTCTTTGTATGTTGAACGCTGCTACACTGCTAATATTTGTCATAAACATCCTTTATTGCTATAACAAGACCATGAGCTGCAAACAAAACGGTAGTCCTTTTTTAAGACTTTGATAGAACTAATAGCATCTGAATCGCAGGGTATCTTTAATCGCGGGGGGGGATTTTAATGTTTTATTTGACCCCAAATTAGATTCTTCGAACTCTTCCATTCAAATAGCGAGTCCATTAAGAAAATAAATAAACACAATGTTAAAAGAAGTAAGTTTGTTAGATGTATGGAGAGAGTTTCATCCAGGACAAAGAGACCATACATACTTTATTTGGAGTAGGCAAACGCAAGACAACGTTAGAAGGACTCTCCAAATTATCAATCACATTCAAGATTCTAATTTCCAAGCTGTCCTCCTAAGCCTCGATGCCGAGAAGGCTTTTGATTCGATCGATGGACCTTTTACACATTTCCGGGTTTCTCGGCAGCGGAAGTCGTCATAGTTGGGTTAACTTGAAGAGCAGTGACTGGGAGAGTACCACAAATATATCTTTTGCATTCCCATTTGCTCAAATAACAAAAGAAAAACTCGACGATAGTGTTTTCATGACTTTCAATAAAAGGTAAAAAATTGAGAGAGACTGTTAACGGCAGTCAGAAGAGAGAACGATGTCAAATGTACCGACCCTCCCATAGGCGCCGCATTAGAAACACCCTCGCATTAGCATTAACCGTGTTTTTTTTGTATTTTAATGCAAAGGTGTCTTGTGAAAAGGGTCCATTGGCTTTTTCTTAAGGGTATTCTTACAAAATTCAATTTTCATGAGAAATGTATTAAAGTAATTCAAAATATATACTCATGTCCCTCCGCAAGAATGAAAATAAATGGTTATCTATCAAAGATTCCAAGGATTTCTTTAGATGTCTTCAGCTCCGACAACATTTCTATCAGAAAATTAAAAAAGGGACTGATGGAGATCCAAATAAGAGTGCTCTAGTTAAAATATTCTCCTCAGCTTACAAGGCTGAACCAATGATAAAGACTATTACTAAACTATATAGAGCACTGAGAGATTCATCTCTGTACATTAAGGAGAGATGGGAGAAAGAAAGTGGTATTACTATCTCAACTGAGGACTGGGAAAATATATGTAAACTACAATGGGCAACCTCCCGTTCTTCATATTGGAGAGAATTTTGCTGGAGAAATACTGTTCGGTTTCTCCTTACTCCAAAACAGAAAAATACATTTCTAGGCAACTCAAAGTGTTGGAGACATTGCGGCTCACAGGATGATAACAATTTTCATATATTTTGTGGATGTCCTAATATCAGAAGTTTTTGGAAAGATCTACATAACGTATTAGAATATACAGTATTTTAAATACTTCAGTTGATTTGAGTTTTGAGGTACTTTACATGGGCAAGGTGTTTCCTAGGAAGGGAAAAACAAATATATGTATAGAATAATTCTTGCTTCAAGTAAAAAAGTTATTACTAGATGCTGGTATAAACCTAATCCGCCACAAATACAGAATTGGATTGATGTTGTAAAAAGTATGTTTACTATGGAGAAAATTACATTCTTTGTGAATTACCAAAAATTGTTGACTTTTGGTCCAAATGGATTGAGTATATAACTCCTATTGAAACAAATGTTTTTTTTTGTTATAGAACCCGTTTTATGTTTATTGAATTGTTTATTTCTTTTGTAAATAGTTTTTGTATAAATGAAAGATAATTAAAAGAGATATTGATCTGTTATTGTCATGAAGAACTTTTTGATCAGTTATTTTTTTCCTCTGATCAGGGAATATATGTTGGAAATGCTGTAAAAGTGACAAATGTCATAAACAGATGTTGTGAATTGTATCTCTTCGCAATAAAAACTTAAATAAAAAATTAAATTTTTTTTTTTTTCATATTTCTGGAATAAAAGGTGACTAATATAATTTCAACCTACATAAATTGACCACATGATTAAATCTAAACAATGAGACAAATGGAATTTAGCAGATAATGACCTGGATAGGCCGCATGTTCGTGAAATCTTTGCGATACGAACTGAACATCAGACTTGGAGGAAGGCGCTTGGCATAAACTGGTTTGTGATTGGATCAGAATGCCAACTCGGGTAGTAGACGATGATGATATGGATTATAACGAATGGACATCAGTTTCTTTGGGAGAAGATGGGAATGAGGGAAAATAAGGCGAGATGAAGTTAGTTTGTTTGCGATTCAGAGTAGCAAAAGGGGCTTCGAAGAAAACTGTTCAGATGACTGAAGTAGAGTGGCTCGATAAAAGATCTTAAGAGAGGAATTTAAGGGTGCTTTCACACTAGCACTTTTGGTGCGCACCAGGGTTCGATTGACGTCAGAGTTCGGTTCGTTTGGATGATGTGAACGCTGTCTTCCGAACTCGGGTGCGCACCTGCGAACCGTACCCGAGTCTGCTTAAAAACGGTTCAAGTGAACTCCAGTATGGTTCGCTGCTGATGTGAACGCAATCGTACCAAATCGCAGAAGTGAACCACTATTAATGACGTATTATTTGATGTTTTTGTGTGTTTTACTCACTTTCCTGACAAGCGTGACTGACGCGCTGCAAACAGAAAGCTGTATATCTCATTTATGTTCGCCTTCAGCGTTCTTTAGAGCATTTGCAGCACATTCATAAGACAGACGTAAGTGCCATTTTGTAAACAAAACAAACGCTTCAAAAACGTAAATATATAAAAGTGCCTAGAGCAATGTTATGCATTTGCCGCCTTCTCCTGCGCTATAGTTACTAAGCAATGGGGTAAACAGCTACTGGCTTAATGACGCAAACAAACCGCGGGTCGGACCCAAATAAAATAATATGAACACAGTCCAGCGGGGGCAGGGGGAGGGGGGAGCAATCGAACTCGGGTTCGGACCAGTGTTTTTTTATGTGGACAGACAACATTTATGGCAAAGCCAGTCAGTGTCTGGCACTTCCTCCACTTCTGCACACTCCAAGTGGAACCACAAATGGCACACCCATTCGTCAATGGCCTCATCTCCTGAGCCAGGTGAGACCACTCTACGACAGAGAGCGCAGTGTTCTCCATCTTCAGTCGGAGGAGGTGCCTGCTTCTTTTGTCTTTTGGCCTCCTGGGCTTGTCTCCTTTCCTCCTTCTTCTTTGCACTTTCTCTTCTTTTCTTCCTTCTCTTTCTCCTCAGTTTCTTTTTCTACCTACGAGCTGGACTTCTCATCTTCTCCTTCCTCTCCAGGGCTGGACTCGTGAGGACGTTAGCCAGACTCTCTGGGATTACACCTGCTGCCACCAGGTCATTTTTGTGAGCCACTCTATCAATTTTACAGGTGGGGTAAGGTGTTTGAGTGATGGTTGATGTGTCAGTAGGTTGAGTGCTGGATTGAGTGATGGATGGTGTGGCTGATGAAGTGGCGGGAGTGCTGGATGGCGTGGTTGGAGTGCTGGATGGCGTTGTGGGAGTGCTGGATGGCGTGGCGTGGTGGGAGTGCTGGATGGCGTGGTGGGAGTGCTGGATGGCGTGGTGGGAGTGCTGGATGGTGTGGTGGGAGTGCTGGATGGCGTGGTGGGAGTACTGGATGGCGTGGTGCGAGTGCTGGGAGTGCTGGATGGTGTGGTGGGAGTGCTGGGATTGCTGGATGGTGTGGTGGGAGTGATGGATGGTGTGGTGGGAGTACTGGATGGCGTGGTGCGAGTGCTGGGAGTGCTGGATGGCATGGTGGGAGTGGGAGTGCTGGATGGCGTGGTGGGAGTGCTGGATGGCGTTGTGGGAGTGCTGGATGGCATGGTGGGAGTGCTGGATGGCGTGGTGGGAGTGATGGATGGTGTGGCTGATGAAGTGGCGGGAGCGCTGGATGGTGTGGCCTCACTTCCATCTGCAGATGGGAGCACTCTCACCACCTAAGAAAATAAAACGTATGTAAAACTCATTAACACACTAGAAAAGAAATGCAAGTAGCTTAGAGGATGAATTATCATTGTATTAATGTCAACATTACCTGGGTTGTTTCCACAGCAACCCTGGACAGAGGAAAGATGCCAGCCTTGCGGAACCCAGCCTTGATGTTTTGGGCTATGACAGCTGTGGGGTAGACGTGTTTGAGGAGAGCTGAAAACTGCTTCTTCGCCACAACAATGTCCCCTCGCACCAGACCCATCCTGAAAGCCATGGTGGAGAAAGCAGTCTTCAGTGGGTTGAAGACCGCAATATCCAGGGGCTGAAGTATGTGTGTGGTGTGGGCAGGTAGGCAGAGAATTTTAATTTTGTTTTCTCTGCAGAACATGATTACGTCTTTTGAGACATCTGTCTCGTGTTGGTCCATGATTAAAATTTGTGGTCTCTCCTCAGGAGTATCTGATAAAATGACGGAGCCATTTCCGGAAGAGCTCGGAGTCCATGTAACCCTTCTCCTGGATGCCATAGAGGGTGTTGGGGGGGCCCATCCAGCCTATAGGCATTACTTGGGAGGCAGCTGGGGTAAATGATGAAGGGTAGAATGCTGTCCCCAGCTGCATTCACACAGCAGTGGACCGTGATGTGCTCCCTGGTCATCTGCTGCTGCTGATAGACCTGTTTCCTCCCAGTCTGGCACAGGACCTTCTCCCTGGACCGAGGCTTGTCTCCAAAGCAGGTCTCATCGCAGTTAAAGATGGGATGTGGCTTGTTCTCCAGCTTGTGCTTCAAATAAAGGGCCTCGTACAATTTGAAGAATGCTTTAATGGCCTCCGGTATAGCACCATGGACTCTGGCTCTGTCCAGAGAATCTGCCGTCCGAGTGGCCAATTCTGGATGCCGGGCCTTGAACCTGGACCACCACAGATCACTTGGTCCCTTCTCCAGATTTACAGTGGTGGTCTCGGTTCTGCCACTCTCCTTAATGATCCCAACAGCCAGTACTTTCACTAGGGGTCTTGTCACTGGGAAGCCATGGTCTGCCATCCAGAATATAAAGGAAAGGAGAGCCTCTTCCTCTCCAGGTGTCAGGGCCGAATTAGGATGAAGTTGGTTGTGGACATATTTATTTTTTTATAGTCCTGTAGAGTGGTGTGGGGAATGCCAATTTTTTTTGCTGTTGCCCTTAAACTTGTTCCTGCCTTTACTTCCTCAACTGCCTCCTTTAACTTCTCCTTTGAGTACTGTTTTTTCTTTATTTTGCTTTACTGACTTTCCTTTGAACTATGATTATATGTTAATCATGTAACCTTAACTTCAAACGATTGTTTATAAAATTGTTCATATTCACAAAGTTTTGTAATTATATAAGTTAACTTGATGTATGAAATCTTATTAAATAACTTAAATGTCTGAATATCCTATCATTGTGTTTAACTTTAAGTTAATGTTAAGTTAAATAACTTCATGAACATTTGGCAATGAAATAATCAATTGAGTTCGTTTAATTTCTTAAAGCATGACAATTAAAAATGTTAAAACATTAAATTAATGTAAGATAACGCTAACTTAATTGATCCTTTATGAATATAAATATCGTGACTGCGGCGCAGGATGACGGGCAAACAGCGTCTTCAGTCTGTCTCAGACGGAGAGTGGCGCCAAGTGGTCATCGCCCACAATTGACGTTTAAATTTTCCCATTTCAAAGTATTTATTCAACAAAAGGTAATTGATTTAACAATTTGTGATAACATAATATTCATTTCATAAAGACTGTAATACTGTGAGATGCATAAATTAAATAGAAATGTACATTTTCGCTGCTCTAGTTGTCTCCCCTCCCAAGCGGCAGTCTCACGTTTAGCTTGCCCATCGTCCATTTTCAAGCGCAGTGGGCGCACCTAGCAAACTTACTGAAATCTCACTGAAACAAATGGTGGGAGGGTCTCTGTCGTGATCGGGGGTGAAAGAGGGAGAAATGAAGATGACACAGATATATATTTTATGTATGACCCGGAAGTATTTATTCAGCGATTGGCGGTAAAAGGTCAACTGTACGGAACATGGTTAGTCTACGTTACATGTGACTTTTTTATTCTGATTGTGCTTCTAGTCCTATTACGATTGGATTAGTAGGGTCCATGTAAACGCTATTGACTCAGAGATGTTGCAATAATTGATGTCTTATCGTCTTGTTGCCGCAATCCAAGCCATGCGACGTCTTTACGTTACCTTTTTGCGTTGTTTACACATTGGAAAACGGAAAAACCGTATCCCATTGTTAAATTTTTTGTCCTGAACGACTTGCTGTTGCAGTTTTTAATACAGCAGGAATGACCTACCATAGTGAAATGTTCCAAAATCGTGAAAAAAAGTCATAACACCGCATCAAACACACTAGCAGAAAAGAAGCGATCCTCCCAGTATGGCGTCTACCAATGATTACCCAGAACTCAGTGCGGCGTGACGTCACCTTCACATTCTCTATAGATATTTTGCATAAAGTGTCAATGTGTTATAATTTATTATTTCAATATCTTTAGAGAAACTAAATTAATTGGGGAGTTAAAAAAAAATACATATTAGACATTATAGTTCACACTCCATACCAGGTGGAGGCGGTAATGCACCAATAAGTTGTTTGCCAACTGCCAGTAAACCCTAAAAGAAGAAGAAGAAGAAGACTTTTATTTTGGTCTGGCGGTGTGACGTCATAAGGCTGCGCTTCTGCGTCTGTGATTCGGCTGAAGAAAGGTGCGTGTTTTTAATCAACACAACTCGTTAAAACTAGCAATGCTCTTTGCAGCGAAGTATTTGTCCGGAAGGGTAAAAATGACAGTTATTTGAATGAATTATAGCACACAGAATAACTCCTGAAGCGGCTGAGATCCACGTGACACACTATTATAAAGATGGAGTTTATTAAAGAGGAGAGTGAAGACATGAAGATTGAAGAAACATTCAGAGACAAACATGAAGATACTGAGGAACAAACAAAGATGGAGTTTATTAAAGAGGAGAGTGAAGACCTGAAGACTGAAGAAACATTCAGAGACAAACATGAAGATACTGAGGAACAAACAGGTTGGTTTTTATTCTCAAAGCTGAACTCACTCATTTGATGCTTATTAAAATGTCCAGCTCTACTGAAATCGAGAAGTAGCTTAAACAAAACCATTATTTTGTGTAACGGTAAACTTCAATTTGACATTTGTTTTGTTTGTAAGTGATTTTTTCCCCCTGCTTGTCCTCAGAAGTGCTATACTACCAAATTAGCATGTAAATAACAGTAAACCCTGTTGAAAAAAACAGCATATGCTGGTTAGGTATGTTTTGACGCTGGGATGCTGGTTTATGCTGGTCATGTGCTGGCAAAGGACCAGCATAAACCAGCAAAAGGACCATCTTAAACCAGCAAAAGGACCAGTTTAAACCAGCAAAAGGACCAGCTTAAACCAGCAAAAGGACCAGCTTAAACCAGCAAAAGGACCAGCATAAACCAGCAAAGGACCAGCATCCCAGCGTCAAAACATACCTAACCAGCATATGCTGTTTTTTTCAACAGGGAATGTTCATTGCAAGCAATAAATAGTTATGAGTCAGAAACACCAGCCTACTTATAAAATAATAAGTAATTTCTCCAAGCTGACACAGCTTGGTAGAGTCACTGCATGCTGTTTATCTTTGTTCTTCATTTAAAGATCTTTGATGAATAAATAATACAGCCAGTGGCCAGAAACTTCATAATGAACTGCAGCAGCATGAAATCAAAGTGTTCGTGTTTTGAGCGACACAAACCGTTGATATCAAAAACATCAGTTGTGACTTTCATATATTCTATCAAGCTCCGTAGTAAATGTATCCTCAGAAGTTGATCTAGGATGAGTGTTTCTTCTCCTGAACTTTCTTTGATCACTCCTGTGTTTGCTCTTTAAATTAATGATGAAATAATCAATTAATCATTAACCTTAATACAGCATGCATCTATTGCAGTGGCATAAAGTCACCAGCATGACGGGATGTGCAAATGCAACTCCAAACACCAGCTTCCTCGCCCGAATGAAAGGGATTTTTAGTCTGAAAAGCGAGTAAGTAGGACTGTAAAATGAACAGATGTGATTTGATAAAATGAGGAGATTGTGCTGTAGTTACATTTGGGATCATTTAACTTTAAATGGAGGTTAACCCATTTAATCCCCATTATCAATGTAAAAAAAGTTTTCATTGATAAAGCTCTAAAAACTTTACTGACTGATGTTTTAGTGCACTTCCTGCAAATATGGAAAAAATAAAGGGTCTCAAATATGTGCAGCTTCACATGGTTAGTGCAAATTGTCACATGACCAAAGCAGTTTAATTCCTGTTTGCACCTTGAGAAGATGATGACTGCATCAAAACTAAAATAAAAAAAAGCTAGTATAGCTTAAGTTAACATATGACAAAGATTTTTGGTACACATTATCGTTAAGGTGTCTAGTATATGATGCTTTTTTTAAAGATCATTATTTTGTGTATTTGGTGTAACAGAATATGTTGACATGCTTTAATGTTCAAAAAACACATTATTTTTCAAATACTGTACATTATTGTAGGTCCTCTATGCCCCGCCTCTCTCAAACACCTCTCTCTCTCACACACACACACACACACACACGATGCGCAAAACTCCGCATTTGAACAGTCAATAGCAAATACTTAAACTAATAACAAAAGAGTAGCTGATTCAGAAGCGCCAGATTGTCATAGCAAAGTCAGAATGACCTCCTCTCCTAGGCTCACGAAACGGTTGTCCATAAAATGCATTGCTGTTCTCTTGTAAGTAATCTTAAAGATTCCTAAATGCATCTACTTTCGGAAGACCAAATAAAGTGCTTTAGCTTTCGCCTAGAAACACACAGCGTCTCCCTGACATGCTGCTTCAACACTAACTGCGGTTACTGAAACCACGCCTTCTTTCTTTGCGTGAACATTTGGGCGGCATTATGCAAATATTTCCACATAGTGAGGTAGATATGTGGGGGCGTGTTAGAACGAGCCGTTTTAGGGGGGCGTGGCAGAGTCTTAACTTTGATAAAGAATATCTCTTTGGTTTTGAGACTTTAGTCTTGGCTTAATCACAAATACATACTACAATTATATACCATTATTCTTTTAGTAAAATTCAGTGTGAATCCCACATTTCTGCCACAATACCTTGGTGCAGTGAGTGCTACTACAGTAAATCCATGGTAAATGATGGCGATTTGTAAATTGAAAAGCCTTCTGACTGTCTCGTTGCGCACAGTGTTTCTCCTGTTTGGCTTTAAACTTGTTTAACTCACCGAGTCATTTGTGTTCATCGCTGAATTCAAGCGCTTCACACGGGATCTCACAGCACTGCTTAATGTTCGCGTGAGCAAGTAAACGCATCTACTGTAGTGAGCTCACGCCACGCGGCAGTTTGAACTTTGATCCGCGCGGATAAACGGTCTGTGTGGCGCAATTCAAATGAGTCGCGCTGTTTCGTTCTGCTTTTGGCGCATTTATAAACAATATATTGAACATTTATGGAATTCTTCATATCGTTTTATCAAGGAAAATTATATCGTGATAATTATCATTATCGAATTATCGCCCAGCACTAAAACTAACATATTGATACTAACACCTAAAAAACTTTAATTTTGATTTCACGGGGACTTGTGGGGTCTAGTATTCATTAGTGGTGTCAAAATTAGCGTGTTAACGTAGGTGATTAATTTTTTCGGTTTAACATGTTAAAAGTATTTAATGCAGTCGACGCAAGGGCGCAGCTAGGTTTGGCCACCCCACTCACACCTGCTAAACGTTTATTCAGAGGCAGAACGTCTTTACGATCACATCAAATAGGAGACTTCTCAGACACGCGCGGACACGTTACAGGTGACGAGAAGCTTCAGTAGAACATCAGTGAACTCTGGTCAGATGAGATGCTGTCAGGCCATGTCAGTAAAAACTAATTTTCCGCTCTTGTCTGCCGTTATACTGGGTGCATAGCATGTACTCTTCAATTGCACGCACAAATACGGCAGCGCGCACTGTAGTCTATCATTTCATTTCAAAGCACGAAAGAAACTACAAGCATGCAATGTCATGGTTATATCGTCAAGTCACGAAGTTACAAAAAGTAGCGATTAAAGATGCCTTAACTGCATGTAAGTATTTATTATTTATGAGTCACATTTAAAGAAGTATCAGATCTGCATCAAGTTCAGCAGCGGCAGCTCTTAAAGTAGCAGCCAAAATATCCTAATAACCAGCTACTGTGATGTCTGTTAATCAAAGAACAAAATAAAAAAGAGGAAATCAATAACTAATGTAGTTTTAAGCTTTAGATCTTTTTAAAGTCTAATGTTAAACTGATAGCTCTCAATTATACTGTAATATAGTCAATGGTTAAATATTGGGGGGGAAATTCATAGAGACAGTTGTTATCAGTGATACTTGCCTTCAGTCATAAAAAAAAAAAGATGGCATTAAACAATTTTAAAATATATATACTTTGTTGTTTCTACATTAATTTGTAGATTGAATATGAAATTATTGCAATATAAAAGAATATTTTAAAACTTTAATGTTAGGTGGGAGTAATCGCGATTAATTGATTAATTTCAGAAAAATGTGTGATTTAATCAGTTAATTTTTTTTAATCGATTGACAGCACTAGTATTAATATATAGATTCACTCAGTTTTGTTGAGTGTGGTCATAAAATGAGTAAACATATGGGTCACAATATTGACCGGTGGGATAACTGAATTTAGGTTTACATATAAATCCAATTGCAGTTATTAGCGAAAATTTAAATAAAATGTTGCAATGACAAAATATTGCCCAAAATAAAAGTTCAAATGTTACAAATAAGTTACAATATTGATGTTGTAATACTGGTAGCACTAATATAACAATTTGATATGTTACAAAAAAGTAAAATTTTTGAAATACGTTGATGGTTGAATTTTTTTGTCTTATTTCAGTATTCCTATCAGTGTTGTACAAAGATTTTTTATAGTAACCACAGAATGTGATCAAACAGCTTAAATAGCTGGGATAAGATATATAACAATTGTTTGACTGCAGAAACATGTTAATTCAATACACACATTATCCCACCAAATGTTTTTACACACTTTTCCAAAAAATGTTCAAAAACTAATTATGGATTATTAACACCTCATTTGGATATTTTCATGTCTGGGAAAAAATTGGGATTAAACAGGTTAATTATTGTTGGCGGTTTCCAAAGAATAGTTTGCAAGGTAAAATTTATTCTATAATGTCCAAAGAAAAAAAAAACTTGTTTTGACAAAGGTCATCAAAAAAGAGAAGGAAAAAAACTGTTCAACACTTCACTTTACTTCGCATGTTAAATTGAAATCCGTGAAGAAAACCCCTCGTTATTCTATTATTTTCTACAGTGGCAGATTCACGTCCACGTTCATTCATAAATTGACCATAGAAAGAGAGGGAAAAAAGTAACATTGAATAAACAGTTTGTTCATATTTAAGAAACCGTAACAATGAAATATAAGGATTTAATCATGAAATCCTTAATGTGGACAAAGGTATCCAGTTATCGCTGAATAAAACGCACAATGGAGATTTGTTTTTTTTTACGGATTAAATTTTTTTGTTACTGATTAAATTTATCTGATGAAACTTGAAAACAAACATACGATTGCACAAAATATATGGTTTATCTGTTCTTCAATCAGTCTTGGGTATTTGGAAAGTGTATTTATAATGCAATGCTAATCGACATAATCTTTATCGCTGTATATAGTACTATCATTCTGTAATATGAAACCATGTCTGGTCACAAAAATAAGTTATTTCAAACACTCAACTATGTTAAGTTAATTTGGAGAAAAAGCATGTCAATAAATGATATCTTTGTTGGACAACAGGTTTGTAAACAGGCTCATACACATTAAAAACTGTATCGCACACATGCTACTGTAGTACATTTATTCAGAGCAATTTTTCTGCACTGTACAGCCTTAACCAAAACCAGTTCCAGATCGTAGAAGGAGCTCCTCATTTATCGATAAACACCTCCGTGGAAATACTAATCCTTATCTTGGGTAGAACTTTTACCGATATATCGCAAATGATAAGATATCGCCCATCCCTAATGCAGCCATGATTATATAACAAAAAAACAGTGATTAGAAGCTCTAATATGTACAGTTTCTTTACTACAATCCTGACTGAAATGATTCACAAATATGGTTTCTCCTTAAAACCGATCATAGCTGAGAGGACAATATTTTTCTAACATTTTAGACATAAATGGCAAATTTGAGATCCGTCTATAATTAACCAGTTCTCCAGAGTCAAGCATTTTCATTACGGGTTTGATAACTGCCAGCTTGAGAAATATTTGGGCCATTTCCTAAAGAAAGCAAATAGTGGTTGCCCACTTGAAGCTAAGCAGGGTTGAGCCTGGTTAGTACCTGGATGGGAGACCTCCTGGGAAAACTAGGTTGCTGTTGGAAGAGGTGTTAGTGAGGCCAGTAGGGGGTGCTCACCCTATGGTCGGTGTGGGTCCTAATGCCCAGTATAGTGAAGGGGACACTACTGTCAAAAAGTACCATCTTTCGGATGAGACGTTAAAGAGTAGGGGTGTAACCATAGTGTCCTGGCCAAATTGCCACCACTGGCCCTTGTCAATCATGGCCTCCTAATAATCCCCAACCACTTGATTGGCTCTATGACTCTGTCTCCTCTCCACCTGTAGCTGGTGTGTGGCGAGCCGTCGCATCATCCAGGTGGATGCTATACACTGGTGGTGGTTGTGGAGAGACCCTCTCATGATTGTAAGGCGCTTTGGGTGTACAACAATACACAATAAAGCGCTATATAAATGCATCATTCATTCAGTTAACACGATAGAGCAGGGATCACCAGACTCAGTCCTGGGGGGCCGGTGTCCTGCAGAGTTTAGCTCCAACCCTAATTATACGGCCCATCCCTAATGCAGCCATGATTATATAACAAAAAAACAGTGATTAGAAGCTCTAATATGTACAGTTTCTTTACTACAATCCTGACTGAAATGATTCACAAATATGGTTTCTCCTTAAAACCGATCATAGCTGAGAGGACAATATTTTTCTAACATTTTAGACATAAATGGCAAATTTGAGATCCGTCTATAATTAACCAGTTCTCCAGAGTCAAGCATTTTCATTACGGGTTTGATAACTGCCAGCTTGAGAAATATTTGGGCCATTTCCTAAAGAAAGCAAATAGTGGTTGCCCACTTGAAGCTAAGCAGGGTTGAGCCTGGTTAGTACCTGGATGGGAGACCTCCTGGGAAAACTAGGTTGCTGTTGGAAGAGGTGTTAGTGAGGCCAGTAGGGGGTGCTCACCCTATGGTCGGTGTGGGTCCTAATGCCCAGTATAGTGAAGGGGACACTACTGTCAAAAAGTACCATCTTTCGGATGAGACGTTAAAGAGTAGGGGTGTAACCATAGTGTCCTGGCCAAATTGCCACCACTGGCCCTTGTCAATCATGGCCTCCTAATAATCCCCAACCACTTGATTGGCTCTATGACTCTGTCTCCTCTCCACCTGTAGCTGGTGTGTGGCGAGCCGTCGCATCATCCAGGTGGATGCTATACACTGGTGGTGGTTGTGGAGAGACCCTCTCATGATTGTAAGGCGCTTTGGGTGTACAACAATACACAATAAAGCGCTATATAAATGCATCATTCATTCAGTTAACACTATAGAGCAGGGATCACCAGACTCAGTCCTGGAGGGCCGGTGTCCTGCAGAGTTTAGCTCCAACCCTAATTATACGCACCTGAATTCCTGGAGGGCCGGTGTCCTGCAGAGTTTAGCTCCAACCCTAATTATACGCACCTGAATCGGCTAATCAAGGTCTCACTAGGTATACTTGAAACTTCCAGGCAGGTGTGTTGAGGAAAGTTGGATCTAAAATCTGCAGGACACCGGCCCCCTAGGGCCAAGTTTGGAGACCCCTGCTATAGAGGATTACAGGCAACACCTCTTTCAGTAGCTTAGTGGGTAGTATACAGCATGTTGGTTTTGATCCTTTACATGCCTGAATGTGATGTCTTGCTTTGTCATTAAAAAAACTTGTATTGGGTCTTTTTTTGCTTTAGACCTGATGCTGCTGAAAAAGGAGAGTCAAGAACTGAATGAAACGAAAGACAAAGTTCAGTATGAGAAACATCATGATTTCATAACTGGAGAGAATTTAAGTTCCTCACAGACTAAAACGACTTCACACAAAAGAGCTCAAAAGAGAGGAGCTGAAAGTCATTTAACCTGCCAATATTGTGGAAGAGGTTTCAGTAAAAAAGGAAACCTTAAAGTCCATATTAGGATTCACACTGGAGAGAAGCCTTACGCCTGCCAACAATGTGGAAAAAGTTTCAGTAAAAAAGAAAACCTTGAAGTCCACAAGAGAATTCACACTGGAGAGAAACCTTACGCCTGCCAACAATGTGGAAAAAGTTTTGTTAAAAAAACAGTCTCTCAAAGGCACATGAGAATTCATACGGGAGACAAGCCTTACAGCTGCAAACTGTGTGAAAATAGTTTCATTCAAAAAGGAGACCTTGAAATCCACATGAGAATTCACACCGGAGAGAAGCCTTTCACATGCACTCAATGTGGAAGGAGTTTTACACGTAAACAAACTCTTAATGCCCACATAAGAATTCACACAGGAGAGAAGCCTTACACCTGCCAAGAATGTGGAAAAAGTTTCTCTTTAAAAGGAAACCTTGAATACCACATGAGAATTCACACTGGAGAGAAACCTTACACCTGCCCACAATGTGGAAAAGGTTTCAGTAAAAAAACAGCTTTTCGAAGGCACATACGAATTCACACAGGAGAGAAGCCTTACAGCTGCCAACAGTGTGGAAAGAGTTTCTCTCAAAACGGAACCCTCAAAGGCCACATGAGAATTCACACTGGAGAGAAACCTTTGAGCCAGACAAGGATTCACTCGATAGAAGGATTTTATGTTGCGGAAGGAGTTTCACAGACAAGAATCATGTAATGACTCGTATCACAGTAAAGAATTCATTGTGCCATCACTGTTGAAAACTGGGCAAACCTTGAAATTCACGTGAGAATTTACAGTGAAGAGAAGCCTTTCACATGCCGTCACTGAGGAAAACGCTTCTGATCCAAAGAAAACTTAATACTCACATGAGGCATCACACTGAAGAAAATGTTTACGTTTACTACATTTACTGTTAAAGGGTTAATTCACCCAAAAATTTAAATTAGCCCATAGTTTACTCACCCTCAAGGCATCCTATGCATACTGTATATTACTTTTTTTCTTTCAGACGAATCCAGAGTTACATTACAAAATTTCCTGACTCTTCCAAGCTTTATTTTGTGGGTGGGTGCTTTTGTTCAACAGTCCAAAAGAAGTCCAATAAAGTGCATCCATCCATAATAAAACGTGCCTCACATGGCTCTGGGGGGTGAATAAAGGCATCCTGTAACGAACTGATGCGTTTTTGTAAGAAAAATATCCATATTTAAAACGCTATAAACGGTTTTCTCTAGTTTGCACTAACTGTTGTACGTGAAAGCCGTTCCGGACGGATGACGTTGGACGTATGCGTAGCGCATGTGCCAGTGAGAAAACAAAACACTGGTCACGAATTAGAAGTACAAAACGAGGATGTGTAAAGAAAAATGTTGGAGGATTTCGACATAAGCCAAGAGGAGACTGGTTTTCTTTTGCTAAAGCAAGGAAACTTTGGTTCTTTTGCTCCTGTAAACAAACGTTGGTTCTTGCGAGACCATATTCTCACCAGCGCATGTGCTACTCATATGTCCTACATCATCTGTCCGGAACGGCTTGCCCAATTAAAGTAATTTACTCGCTCTCTAAAGTTCCAAACCAGTGTGAATTTCTTTGATTTAAGACCCCCTAATTGGACGTACTCAGGTGCACATGCTGATTTCTCACCTGAAGACCGGCACCTTTTGAAATGCTCCTAGGATGCTGGAAAGTGAGGGAGAGTTGAGTTGGTATATTTGAGATGTTGAATCTATTTTAAAGTTGATAAACTGCTATAATCTGCTTAGAGTGATTTTTTTTCCCCCTTGTTGGAAAATGTCCTTGTGTGTGTGTATATATATATATGTGTGTGTGTGTGTATATATATATATAATTTTTTTAATAAGGCTATTGATTTGCCCTTGTCTTTTTTTGTCATTTGTTTGAAAGTGTGTTGCCCTTTGATTTCATTGTAAATAATGTAAATATTACCATGTTCCATCACCATAGAAGAAGTAGACATTGGGTGCCTTTTTGTTTCAGATTGTAAATACTTTTCTTCTGAGTTTGCTGTAGTCAGGAAGTCCGCTCTTATTTTCTTTACGTTTTATCTTGGTCAAGGATAGTGGTCGACCGATATATTGGCCGATATTTGGCATTTTTTTCAAATATCGGCATCGGCCGATAAGTTTTTCTGTTTGGCCGATGCATTCGTGGCGGGACTTTTATTTTGAAGGCGCTGAGAACCGCAGCGCCTGAACACACGGTGCTCACAATCTCCCTCTTGTTCGCTGTCGGCGTTAACAGATTATTAAGTCTTTATTAAGTGATTATTAAGGCCCCGTCCACACGGAGACGCGTTTAGCTGTATACGCATACATCTTGTATCGTATAGGCGTTTCGTCCACACGGGTCCGGTGTTTTGGGAGAGTGAAACCGATATTTTTTTTAAAAAGGGTCCCAGATCGGATAAATCTGAAAACGTCCCCCTTGCGTTTTCATGTGGACAGCGAATCCGTATATTTTCTGAAACGATAACGTCATCAGCCCAGGTCTCGCCCCTAGTCTGACACCGACTAGGTAATTATCTTTTTATTAACTAACATTAACACAGATTAATAAATGTATTGTTCCATGTTTGTTTGTATACCGCACGCAAGGTTTATGCGCATAGTCCAAGTCTTCTTCTCGGTTTTTAGTGCATCTCTGTGGCAGAATTACAGCGCCATACACTGGTCTGGCATGTATACTACATCGTTTTGTGTCAGTTTTGTGGTTTCGTGTGGACGCATATATTTCTTGAGACGAGGGGAAAAAAAGATTGGATAGGGAAAGCTCTGGCTTCGTGTGGACGTAGCCTAAGTCTGTCTAAATTATCAGATAGAACTGGTAAAGGAATTAAAATGTATACAAAAAAGTATTGCAACGATTGCTTTTATATTGTTAGTAAATAGAAAGGCAAACATTATAATACTTTCTCATTTGCCATCAGCATTCAGCAAATACACATTTATATCATTTAAACAAATCTTTGAATGACTAAAGAACATCTAGCTAATTTCAAAAACCTTGCAAACTTAGTCGAATCCAGCTGTGAGATCTTGTGAAGTGTGCATTTGTATCCTGCATGATCACGTGTTCTCTGCATGACGGTCAGTCCGTGTGAATTGAATACGGACAGGAGGAGAGTTAGGCTTCACTGAGATGCGCGATCGACAAACTTTAAACTCGTGATTTCAAATTATTCTGCGCTTCATGCTTTTGCCCAATGTCATATTCATGTCATTTTCACTGTGTGCTGTATGTTAAATGAGTGTTACCTTACCTTAAATGAGTGCTCTGTTGGTTACAGTGTTTACTTCCTTTTTAATTCGATTTTTATTAAATATTTGTTTATTTGTGAAAACACTTTGTCGTTTAAAGTATAAGCATGTTTATTTTACACATCTATTTTTTTAATCCATTTTCAAATTATTTCAAATTTCTTAAATATTAAATGAAATAAATACAATTATATCGGCCACCCTGCTTTCCAAGATATCGGCATCGGCTGTCAAAAAAAACAATATCGGTCGACCACTAGTCAAGGAGTGATTGCGTTTTTAATCAGTAGCATCATAAATTGTTTTTTTGTTTGTTTTTGGCTTTTCCCAATCCTGAGAAGATTGCTTAGTATTTGAGTGGTGTGACAGAAAAACAAAACAGAAAATCGTGAAAACCGTAAAAGCAGGTACAGTACTCTTTGTTTATGTAACCTCCCTGACCTTAGACCAGTGTCATAACAAAGGTCTTTATGTATTTAGCAGACACTTTTATTACCTCCTCCTCAAGTCTAGATTGCATAGTAGCAAACATATCCTCTGGCAGCTGCAGAGGTTTGTTTTGTTATAGATAACTGCTTGATAACAGCAATCTCTTCATTTAGGTGTTCCAGCTGGCTTATGATGTTGCTTCTCAACACCAGGGGCGCTAACAGGATTTTTACAATTTTAAATGTTATATTTTAATTTGGGATGCACCGATACCACTTTTTCCAGTACCCGCCCGATACCGATACTTTTATTTTTGGTACTTGCCAATACCGAGTACCGATACCAATATTTTTATTGCATTTGTAAAAAATTTTAATCAATTGCGAAATTGACGCGTTTCCATTAGGCGAATTCGCAATTTCAATTTGCGCAATTTGAAGGGTAATGGAAACGCGCCTACTGTCATGCCGAGTACATTGTTCAACAACTTCAAGCTAAAAGTTAGTTTTTCTCATTTTCTTTGCCATTTTTCACCTCTAACCATCTTTTACCCGTAAACTCTCTCAAAATGCTCTTTACGCACTGACGCACGAGTCACCGTAATACTTCACACACAGACTTCTGTGCATGACAGGTTAAATCGTCCCGCTGAAGCGGCATATTAATCTTTTCAGAAGTTAATTGGCTATCAGATACGACAGTCATTTGAAAACTCTGATGCAACTGGATTGATCTACTGTCCATCAAAAAGAGAGCGGCACCATCCTTCATCCTGGGCGCCCCTTGGCTATTGCTGCCTGTTGACACCCCTTAGATGCAGCTATTGGTTCAAATGAGGTGTCAATCTAAAGGGCAGAGGTCAGCGGCCATTTTGACATCAATAAATCTGTAATGTTTACATGTGAAAAGACGCTACACTACAGAATGCGTCATAGATTTGATTGCTCTGTCGGCTAATTTGAAATCATACTACTACATTCCATGGATGTTTATCGACATAAATGTGTTATGGACTAAATATTTCACTGAATTGGATAGTCTAGACCCTTTACAGTGTAACTACACAATTTTTGTTGGAATGTTTTGAATCAGTGGACTAACAGGAGGCTTCATATGTGAGTTCTTTCAGATTTGTAATGGTTTATTTGGTTGTTAGCAGTCTAATTGTACCTGCTGTGTTGATTGTATCTTAAAATGGTCACGAATATATGTCACGAAGTTAACCCTCAAAGCACGCAATGTACCGCGGGCGGTACACTGGAAGGTTAAGAGGTTTAATATAGATGCGTGCGCTTTATTTGACTACTTTTGGACTGTAGAAACAAAAACTGTTGAATGCATTTAACCTGCAGTTACAAATGCATAAATAATGTTTTGATATATTAAACATAAAACGTTGAATGCTGATATTTGAAATGATTTAAAACATGGAAAAAAAATTAAAACCGCCAATAGGTGGCAGCAAAGCACTGTTAATAAGCAAGTCTTTGCGATTGAACCGAATCATTTAAACAGTTGATTCATTGGATGTTGTTCTTCAAATGAGTGAAGGGCTGCAAAGTCACTGACTGCATAACATGTGGCAACTTCTTTACATCCTACAAACCTGGTGAAGAGCTACTCAAGTGAAAGCTGACCATGATTAGAACAAATAAAAAAAAAAGTAAAAACAAGCCTGCGCTTTCCAGAGAGATTCTGGATATGAAGGACAGACGTTTGATTTCTCTGAAACGGCAACAATTGCTTCCTACGGTCCAAAATAAAAGGAGCATCAAGGAGCGCAAGAATGGACCTGGAGCCAGAACTGGTACTGGACTATAATTTCACGAAAGGAGGAGTTGACAGTTTGGACAAACTCACATCAGCGAACATCTGCCAGTGCAAGACTTGCCCGGTGGTCTTTGGTGGTCTTCTATAACATCTTGGATGTGTCAGCATATAATGCCTTCGTCCTGTGGCGTGAGTTCAACCCAAACTGGAATGAGGGCAAACTGTGCAAACGTCGGCTTTTCTTGGCGGAGCTTGGAAAAGCACTCATCGCACCTAAAATCCAGCGACGCTCCTGCCCACCTCGAGCAGCAGCGGCTGTAGCTTTGGTAGAATCAGTTCAAGCAGATGAATCCAGATCCACAGAGGTGAATACAGGTGATGGGGAAAAGCGGAAAAGTTTTGAGATGATGTGTGTAAAATGCAAGAAGTTCATCTGCAGAAAGCACATGCTTGCTGTGTGCAAATCATCATTGCAGTGGTTTCTTTCATTTGTTCAGTCGGTGAGACTAAAGAAAAAAGATGAGCCTGTTTAGTTAAAGACTAATTTAATTTCACAGCAGTATCAACTTTTTTATTTGGCATGCTTTGAACATAAATGTAAAAAACGAAAGAAAAACTGTTGAATTAAAATTTTAAATGTTAAAAGTTACAAGTTTATTTTCAACATTTGTTAAAACAAACATGTTAAAAATTTTTTAAATATCATACGTTTTGATATTAATTGTTTGTAATGTGAGATAAATACTGATATAAAAATTGTCCTGTTCATATGGAGGAATTCGAGGCTGCCAACTGGAGTTTTTGAAAATCTTCACCCTGGCAGGAGGTTTGACCTGGGGCCTCGTGTATAAACGTTGCGTATGCACAAAAAAGGCATTAAAATGTGCGTACGCTGTTTTCCACGCAACTATCTGGATTTATTTTAAAATCTTGCTGTAAATATGTGCACACCGTTCGGAAACTCTTGACTGTGCGCATGCACTCTTTTAGTGGTATTTGTGATTTAGTGACCCCAAATGGCCAAGCAATAAAATGAACATCTTTTCATTTAGGCTGTTAAACCACAAAATGCATCAATTAGACGACAAGTAGTTAATCAATCAATATATATTTAACATTCATCCAGGTGCAAATACTTTGTGTTAATTTATTTACTTAAAATGAACGACCTATAAAATGGCTAGGTCGGAACAAGACTAGCGCTGCGTCCGAAATCGCATACTTCCATACTATATAGCAGGCGAAAAACAGTATGCGAGGCGAGTAGTATGCCCGAATTCATAGTATTCGAAAAACAGTATGCCGAGAAGTACCCGGATGACCTACTACTTCCGCCCGAATTCCGTAG